CGGTCCTAATGCACAAACCTCATTTAGGGGAGATAAAGGGACCTTTAAGCTAAAGAGCTCTTTCCCCCATAGCAGTCTGTGTATTCTTAAAAGGACAGTCAACTGAAGGAGGTTTTGGCATTCGGGCGTAACTTTCCAAGATGCATAATGTAGTAAATGTTATTTCATCGAGTACTTTCCCTTCAGTAGATGTTAATTCTGTGTTTTGTGCAGACGGAGATTTGAAATACGCAGGTTGGTCTCTTTCTTCTCTATTATAATGACCTCGCGTGGATCTCTTCTGCGGTCGTCGCCTATCGATTCCGCCATGGGAAAACTGGGAATGAGACAGGTCAACCACCCGATCCTGGCCTTGCATGTCTTATCTGATCAACATCTCAATAAAGGGAATGAAATACTGCATGACCCAATGTAGGTCAGCTTAGTTGATGAGCTAAATCGGGAGCTCTGTGTATATTACATTGACGATGGTGGAAAGGGAGAGGGCAGGGTCATGATCTTGGCTCTCTCAAGGTAACAACAGGCGGATCCGAGCTGCTAAAAAAAGGCACCCGTCCCGGTATTTTTAGACGTTTTTTTGGCAGTGACTTGTCATTGCAGATGTGCCCTACCTTTCCTCCACCCCCAACCCTGCGCTTCCTTTTCCTCGGATGCCCTTCCAAAAATCTGACAGTCTGGGTAGACGGATCTTGATACCTTACAATACGTCTCGGAAAAATTACTTACTGGAGTTTTTTTTGTGAAAGTGACTTTGTAACGGGTTGGCATCGTTCAGTCAGATGAAAAATGGTCCCTCAATGTCGCGTGACTATAAAATGATGGGAGTGTGGAATGAAGGAAGCGTGAGATGGTACAAGAGTGGAGAGGTTGTTGTGAAAAAAACGGTCGAAAAATACGAGGGGTTCTTTCTGCCTCTTCGAAGCCTAGAGCGTGCGTTCTCTCTCTCTCTCTCTCCTCCCTCCCATTCCTTGTTTACAGAATAAACACGACGAGAGGGACAGGAGGAGGAGGAGGAAGAGGAGGGTGGGAGAAAGAGAGATGAAATGGCCTCCCCCCAAAAAGAGAAGAGGGGAGTGGAACGACCTGTAGATAATGCCCAGGCCCTTTTTAGTGGGGGGGGGGACCTTCAAGTCTCCTCTTCCTCTTTCCTCATTTTCCCTCTGTCTGTCGTCCTGCCCGTCATTCTGTTCCCCCAAATTTACTCGATCGGATGGGGTGATGTGATCCCATCTAGAGAACAATGTCCCCCTCATCGATTGACACAATTGCGTCAACAGACCTTTTTTTGTCATGCCCCAGCCCCTCATCCCCAGACGGATTTTTTGTGGGCTGTCTGGCCCCCAGACATTTTTCAGAAAATGATCCTCATCTCAGGCTTTTGAAATTCCCCTCAGCCAAATTGAATCCGTTCTCTTATGAAAGTGGGCAGTAAAAGATGCTTCTCACCTTCCTGTTTCATGCCCATCTTTCGGCCTCATCTTTATTTTCCTTGAAAATTGGAACATGTAATGATTGGAATGTCCAAAAGTAGGCTAGGAAGTCATTGTAGAGAAAATAAGCGCCATGAAAGCTTTCCCAGCACGTACCAAGTAAGAGCGCCCCCTCCAGCCTCTCAAGTACATGATTTGTGTACTGCCGGAGCACCCTCTATCCCTTTGCAGCCTCTAGCCGGGAGAGACGTACTTGTCACATGGCGCCAGGACTTGTTTTCTCATCGTTTCCCCTGAATCAGAGCACAGGCTCCGTTCTCAATGTCTGGGAACCGGGAAAACTTGCGACCGCAGAAATGAGTCGTCCATCGTCGACTTCCGTTAATAGGAGGAGGAGTTTTTTAAGGGGCGTGGGGAATCTGTCTCATGTATACTGTATGTGTTGGAGGGTGGAGAAGGAAGATGATCTGGTGGGACGACAGATGCATCCCCAATTCATCTTCTCGGAGTGTCATATTGCGTGCGCTGACATTCTCGAGGGGAGACCTTGCCCGCATCTGGTGTGGAATATTGCCAAAAGCCAACGTGTCGTTTTATCCTTCCACGATTTTCCATAGTCCCACGTTTCGCTTTTGTACGAGACAAGGCGGGAGTGGCATCGTGAAGGCCGCTCACGTTCGAGTCGACAGAGCGAAAGAGAGAGAGAGAGAGGGGGGGGGGGATGGGGGGAAAGGGGGAGAAAGAGAGAGAAGCCCACACAAGGCCAAGGCAAATGAGCTGGCTATCCTTGGGGCAAGCCAGACGGACTCTCTATAGGGCTCGGAGGGACTGTTCGATTGAAGCCAGGGCCTGCCTGGCCTGCAATCCTTTGCCTCCGCAGACACATCTGATCGATCCCCATCTCCACAGGCACTCAGGGACCCTGCCTTGTCCCGACGGGGGACGTCCCCATTCTGCGCGTGCGCTGTTTTAGGCTCTCCGTCCCGCCTTGAACACTCCCGACATCTAACGGAATGATGGTTCACGAAGGTGCAAAAAAAACCCACTGATCCTCGAGGGTCAAGAGCGAGCTTGAGTTCCGTCTTCATTGCCTGTACTTTGGATCCATTTGTAGAAAAGTTATGAAATTGGTTTAATGAAATGTTTAATATGTGGAAAATGAAAAAAAAAGCAACTGATGGCGCTCAAAATCCTCATCGCATAAAATTTAAAAAGAGATTACGGTTTTGATTATGCTGGTTTGCCGAAAGCGCTACTGTTTCGTATAATTCCGATAAAAGATGCATCATCAAAGTAACTGAGTACCACTGAAAAATGTGTAACCTTTGCGCAGCATTGGTAGGTACTTGTGATGAGATCGCTGCCTTTTTTCAAGTGAAACCCCTTTCCTGAACTCCATTGTACTTCTTTCTCAATCGGCTCAGTCAGTCATGATGACTGTATAGAGAAGGTAAAGGAAGGAAGACGTTATCCCAGCCCTGGCCATTCATTCCCAGTGACGTTCTTTCCTCTAAAGGACCACCCAAACTGTGAAACAGAAGAGTTACTTAGAGATGGAAAAGGTCTCTTTTCTCTCCTCTCATGGGCCAACCTTGGTCTACTGGCAATATTTGCTTTTCTGGCTTTCATGAGGGTGATGTGGGTGATTAACGAGTCATGATCACTTGCATTATGAATGAAAAGTGGGTATGGGTCCAGTTCACACGCTATCCGCATAGGTGGTTATGTATTGTCTCCATGAACATGTTTCCAGAGGATATATCCATGTGGTGAATTTCTCATTCTTCCCATTTCATTCCTGGATTAGGCCTACATGTCTTCCGAGAATGGAATATTTCTGGTTTGTTGCAACGGTTCTCTGGCCAAAGAAAGAAGAGGAATACGTTTCTGTATGTGAAAGACGGGTGGAATCTGGCGTGAAATGTGATCGCATCTGAGGATTTCCCACGATTGCATTCACCGAAAATGATGGATGATGGATCTTCGATCACATCCCCTGAGGCCATGCTGTATTCCCTTCCCTTGGAACCTTAATCCACCCCTCCTCACCTGTGCTTGTTACATGTGTATCGGATGTAATTCGAATGTCCCTATAGATTGGAGCTTTGCGTCTCTCTTTTTGTCATTTGAATCACAGAGCATTCCTTTTGGAGCTGGAGGGAGGGGGACGACCCGGTTCTAATCCTCTTGGACCGATCCTCCATTCCTGGCCATGGGTAACGGTCAGACTCCTCGCACTCGTGTTTTTCCACGAAATCCGTGGAATGCAGGCTTTTTGTCGCAGATCTTTGACCCTCAATGCGCTCTGTCATTCGATATTTGAGGCGAGCTTTTTTTTTTCAAATCTCCGATAATTCCGTTATGCCATGGCGGAAGCCTTGAAATGTCATGTGTGAATAATCAAAGAGCATGAAAGGAAGGGAGAAAAAGATCTCACGAAAGTGACTGTGTGTTTTGTCCTGACTGTCCCTGGTTTGTCCCTGTTTCCTGTCCTTGGCATTGCATAGCCTACAGATAACGAACTCGCTCCGCGCACTCGCTCTCACACAAGCCTAGCGCCCACGCCCATCCTACCCCAGACCCATGGAGAGTAATCTACACACCTCTCTGCATGGCTCACTCTCTCACGGAACTCCTTCATCCTTACGGAAGGTCTCACCCCCCACATTCCGTTCCTCCCTGTCCATTCAGTTGCAGTCATTGGAGTCGTACAAGCAATCGGAAACAACCTGTCGATAGGTTTCTTTGTTTTGCATTCTTGTATAAAGTCCTCGTGTTTTTTATTCACCAGTTGACACATTGCTCTGTGGTTTTTCATATTAATGTTCATTTTAATATTCTGTGTTATTTCATTATAATATCTCAAGTTAACTTTGCATGCATGAAATCCTTCCGTTTTGTTGCCCTGGGGGCCACGTGGAGTTGCATGTTGGGTTTGGGCAATGGAGTGTGAAAGGTCACTTCCAATGCCCTTCATACTGGACACAGGCACACGCACACGCACATTCCTGATTCAGTAAAGACCCCGACCATGCAAATCACGTGGTTTCCTCTGCTTTGATCGGGAAAATGAAACCCGAGTCCTGTGTGCCGGAGCTAATCACCGAGTTCCTGTGAAAAAGCGGAAGGGCTTACCGTTGATACATAATGTAGATGATACGCGTATGCACGGCAGTTCCTTCCTGGTTGATTATATCGACCTTGCTCTGATCTCTGTGATCCTTCGATGTCCTTCGGGAATAAAATGCCGATTGCTGCAGGTGGTGAGAAATAAAATACTCAGAAAATGTAAGGAAAAAGCAAAGAAAAGCTTTTCGTCGATAAAGGAAGAGTGGAGAGATTTTCGATTACGGATGGTTTGCAGAAATGAAATAGGAAGCAATATTTAGACCGTTTTGGATTTAGATTAGATTTATATCAGACACTTTGGGAGGTCGAACAACATACGCCTGGAGAAGAGGGACCCTCCCCTCCCCTTTCCTTCCCGTAGCCTTTCCTTGTGCGTCCTTGCCCTGGCCTGGCTACCGCCAGGCTTCAGGCCGATGCATCATCTCTCTCATCAACCGGATAATGGATGCTGAAACCTTCTCATCCCTCATTCCTCATTCCCCATTGTCCTTCCTTCATGCACGATTCTCGGTGGTAGTTGCATGCGAGATTCCTCGGGCACCAAGGGTGTGCTTGTGTGCTGCTAAGCCTCATACGACCCTCCTCCTCCTCCTCCTCTGGATATCAACTTTAGACATCTCTGGAGAGTACAGGATGTGTGGGGTATGGATGGCAGGGAAGGGTCCTGGAAGGCAAAGGTACGTTTGAGTACCACCAGGGGAAAAGTACTCAAGTGCGATATGTAAGCTGACGTCGTTAGGGCATCGCGACATGACGCAAAAGCTCCCCGAAACTTCAAAGATAGCAAGGCCTTAAATGCTGCCATTGCTGCATCCTGATCAAAGGTCATGGCATTCTTTCTCGGGCTTCATGAATTCTTCAACTTTTTGGTCTTGAATTTTGATTGCCATGGCAACGAGGTTGAAGCTAGTACTTGCTTGGTCCTCGCGTGGTCTGCATTTATTGTCTTCCGTTTCGTGTCTCCAGTTCTATGTTGCGTCATTAAGGAAGATGGAAGCCCTCATGCGAACCGCTGCCTTCATTACGCTTTCCTCTCGTAAATCAGGATCGGGTAGACTCTTAAAGGAATAACTTCATTTCTCCTTGTTCGTTATTTATCTTTCGTTTATTCGTTATTTATTCATGGACGATGCAAGAGGAAATGCAGATGCCTTACGCCGCGAACAAGCATGTTTATGAAGTCTCCTTATCGTTCGTGAACATGTTTTTTTTTTGCCACAAAATTCAACGCTCTAAAAGTAATTAGGTTTTTTATGGTGAAACTGATTTGTGCCAGCATTTTCTTGTGTACTAGTAGCCTTATCTTGACGTCTCTCTGATGTCATGGAGAAAGGACAGAAACGTCAAGAGGGTGTCGGTTTTGTGGCAATCGTTGCGTCATTCCGTTGTCTCGATTTTTTTCTATCCTCATCTTCCTATCTATAACCAGGACAAGTTTTTCTACAGCCATCTTCCTCCCCCTCCCCCAGTATACGGTTGCGACAACGAATGGCGCCATGGACTGTGGGCACATAGGTTAGATAGGCGCACGGAACAGCTGCATCAAGATCTCGGGGGAAGCGCTTAATTGACGTTGATGATCTCACAAGTGCATTGTAAGGGTGGTGGGGGAGCCCCACACATATAGGCATAGTGGTGGTGATGGCGCTGCGTCAGGAGTCAGGACAACCCGTTGAGCACGTTGGATTGGAGGAGGAGAGCCTGTGCTGCAACTGCACTGCCAGTGCAGAGGGAGCGAGCGAGTGCTAGCTGCCTGCCTGTTGTCAGTCGCAAGGTCGAGCCAGCCCACTCCACTCGCAAGTCTCCAGTTCGCTCTCTCTCTCGCGCACTCCATCCACAGTGTGCAGTGTTGTCACCCGTTTCCTGAAAACTAGCCCAGCACGATCACTGTATTGAATGAGAAATCGGAACCGTTTTCGTTCCCTTTCTCCCTTTTTTTTTTCTTTTTTTTTTTTTTAACCTCCCCCTCGCTTTTTTTTCATCCCCTCCCTCCCCGCTCTTGCTCGCTCGCTCTCCTCTCTCGCTCCCTCATATTTTCGGGTGAAATTTTTTCCCCTCTATCGATTCGCTCTCATTGCGGGAGTCTGGGCTGAAGCACAGTGCTCGACTGGGGGATGCCGACTGGGCCTTGTGTGAGAGTAAGGGAAAAGGAGACTTTTGCTCCCTAATCGTGTCGTTTCCTTCAGGTTTGACAAAGAGCAGAGGAGAGATGCTCTTGGAGCCTCCCGAATCCGTGACAGTCTCCAGTGCCTTACAGGAAGGGAGATCTGTGAAATAAGAGGGAAAAGGGACAGAAAACCGGCGATGTGATAGCGAACCCGTACTTGGAGTGTGATATTTTGGATCTTGTCCGGTGTGTGGATTCTGCCAAGGTTTTTCTTTCCTTCCCTCATCCGGTTGATCTCGATGTGATTTGGAGTGGTCACGATATGGAGGAGTGGTCTCGAGCACTGCGTTAATCATGATAAAGATGCATTATTCAAGTGGGCTTGTGGGCTCTGCACCTAGCATCCCGGTGCCCAGGAACCTCCTCTTTTCCGCTGCCAACGAGGTGAGAGATCCAGCATTCACAATATACCTGTGTGCTCCTTTTTTTCACGTCGGGGGGAATAATTATACACATAACATCCATGCTCTGTCCCAAACAGGGCTATGAGAAGTGAGTTGCATGAGGCTGGCATTTGTATGATAACCGGTCTTGAATCTGCCCTGCAAGCGATGTTTCTCGATGCCATTTGCAGCGCCTGATTCCAGACTGAAAACATACATGATGCATAATTGATCGAGTCTGCTCTTTCATATGGCAGACACGCATTCGGATAGAACGCATTCCACAGGTGAATAATGTATGATTACCCGACGCTGCATAGTGAAGTTACGTATGCCCTTTTGTCTCATCAGAACTTCCACATGATTTCATTCGTCATATTAGTGCAACCATTCGCTGAGTTTTGTGTTGACCGGTCTTTGTTGGATAGATGTAGTGCTTTATTGGCGTGGAGGATCTCGCAAATGATTATTTGGCCACGTTCCAATGAACTAAAATTCAAACCGCATTTCTGCCCTCAGCCTTTTCTATACTACGCAGAGTTTCATTTGGAGAAGGTTCAATCCCCACAAGGCTGACAGAATTGCACTAAGTTGTCCTTTTCAGAGGGCAAGGATTTGCCTGTTTTTCGGAAATGAAGAATGAGCATGGAGTCACCTTCACTTTCGCGCCAAAGGACTGGGAGTCTGAGCTCCCTGGTGAAAAAAGATGGATTATTACCCTCATGAAAGTTTTCAGAATAGCTAGTTTGCTCTTTTTGTCAAACCTGCGACGATAACCGGAAAGACAGGAGATACATACGAGTCAAAGGACCATGAGAGGGGGATGCAGGGAGTTGGAAGATGGCCAAAAACGAACCGGGTCGTAGTTAGGAAGCCTTCGAACAAGGTATGCCAACTCCAATTTAAAAAAAAAATTATCAGAGGTTGACTACCGCACAACTATGGTTCATTGATGTCATTGCGTGGAAGGCCCCCGTGAGATTTTCCTTAGATATGCCCACTTTAACGCCATTCCCGTTCTGTCGTTCAATTTGCATTAGTAAATAATTTTCCTAAAACAGTTCTTGGAAATGTGTTCGACATAAGACTGTGTGCCGTCGATGTCAGTCCATTAGGCTGCCCTTGTCATCATTCACGGTCTTCCGGGGGAGGGGCAACGTTTTTTCTCTGGGCGGAAGGACATTCCCAGTCGTGAGTGGCGTTTACAGTACTTCAATATCATCGCGTTTGGCATAAGACCAAGGCGACGCCAGCTGTCTTCCATTACACAGGTGATCAGAGGGATAATTCAATAGGAAAACTCACCCCCTTACCCAACCCATTCCATCAAAACTCTTTTTCAATAAAACGGCCTTGAGGTTTTTTTCTTCAAAGTAGGCAAAGGGGGATGATGAGCTCCATGTTTTCATTGCATTTCCCTCGGGTTTAGATAGGGAAAAACCTTCCCGGGAAATTGAGATCTTCGGTTTATTTTTTCTGTCTTGGGGTACAGAGTACTGTATATAGCATACGAATATATCCCTCCCACGTCGTAAAGAGACAGAAGAGGGGAGAAGTTGTTAAAGAGTCGTTGATGTCGCCCGCTGGGAATATCCGGGGGGAATCATGGCATAATCTTCTTGCCCGTAATTTCCCACATGATTGCCGGTTGAGGGAGAGGAAACAGAGTTATGTTTCTCTTTTTCTCTCAAGGATTTTACGAGTAAAGTCTTAGTCATTAAGTACTGAAGTGGGCGGGAACACGGACGTGCCGAGTTTCCGGCTACATGGGCAAGTACTCCGTCTCGGCAAGTCTTCCTTTACCCTCCTTCCCACTTGAACACTTGTGTGTCTCAACAGGGGCTATGCCCCCCCTCCCCCCCTTGAGTAGTGAATCGCACTCTAAACCTTGCTCGTCTTGGTGACGTAAACACGCATCTGCCATGTGAACGGAACGGACCAACCATGCAGCTTTTTTTTTTTGTCTCCCCCCTCCCTCTCCTCCCCCTCAAAACAACCTATTCTCATTCCCCTTGCGAAAGGGTCCTTTTATACTCGTCTATCTCATCCCTGATTGATGAGGTTTTTCAACTGAGGGCCGATGGCTTACCTGAGGATTCAGTAGGCTCCTAATGAAGGTGGAGCACACGTAGGACCGAAGAGTATTCTTAATTCTGTGAGGAGGGATCTTTGTGGAACTGTTATGCCGTCATCCTGAGCTTGATTTTCTTTTCTCCGTTGAAAACTCCCACTGAAAAACCCTACTTTCATCTTTGTTTCGTTTCGGGCAAGTTTGCCGCTTTTCACGTAATTTAAAGGTGGCTTTGTCCACATGATGTTATGCTTCGCTAAAGGGAGTCTCTTTCCATGATCCATTTATTCTCATTCTTGGGAGAATGAGGGAAAAATTGGATAATGCTTTTTCGGTGCGCTCTTGAGAGTATTCAGGCGATAAACCTTCACAGGTAGGGAACATTGCTGTCAAGCAACTCAGCCATGCTGAAAACGACAGCGCCTCATCTGCAAAGAATCAGATATGTAGGCTGAAGATTTCCAGGTTTTTAGGTTTTGGCTTGCCCGAACATTTGATGTCAAACGAATTTTTATTATTATTTCCTACATGAATTGATAAGTATCACTTGTATTTGCTAGTTGTTACTTGGTTGTGGTGTCAAGTCGATGGAGTTTACCAAGATAGCCTTACTCAGATATTCTAGGACAGGGCACGGCACAAAATGGCTATCAGAAAGTCTTGAAAAAAATAACTCTGGTTAAGTTTAAAAGTGCTCACAATCGTTTGGATAGTGCCTGTCTTGTGTAAAAACATGTTATGCAAGACAGACGAATATAAATTTTATGCCAGATTCCAGAAGTCAGGAAAGCCATCGATGCTCAGTCTCAAGGCAGCCTTCTCAGTATATAGTACGCCTCACAGGTATAATTGGCGGGAAGTCGGGACTCTTTGCCAAGAAACGCTCGCGCTTAGCGTGCACCACATCTGCTATGCGTGATGATACAAATCACGGATTGCTCAACTTGATGTTTTCACGGTGCTGCGACTCAAAAGTACTTGTGAAAAAAAAGAAACTTGGCTCATAATCATATGGTTTGGCCTTTGGTTTGATTCGTCATCTGTTTGGCATCCGATCATAACCGTTGTCAAAAATTAATATTTTTTGAGTGACATTGTCATAACTTCATTCAAATGGACCGCATCAGTGTTTTAGGGTTGCCAAAGATGTGTAAGGGAGCTCAATGGCGTACTTAATTTTTTTTTTCCCCCGCTCAATTGTGTCTTTGGGACAGAAGGCGGCGTTGGTGTGGAGTCCGGCAGCGGTGTCAGCGGCCGTCTCGTCCGATGTGTTACAATCCGGGACGGGGAAAGGAGCGTCGACGTCCCCATCGGGCTCTGGACAGGCTCAGCACCACCAGTCCCAGTCCCATCATCCCTCCTCCTCATCGGCCCACAATAGCAATCACGGGGGACCCAGTGCCGGTCCAGGTGGGGGTGGTGGTGGAGGCGGTGGAGGAGCCGGTGGTCTCGTCCATTGGATGTCGGTGATGGCCGAACATGTCCATGCTTCCCCTCATCATGATGTCCACTACATGTGGAATGGGGTCGAGGTCGGTTTTCTCTCACTTCCTTCAAGTCCAGACCTTTTTTTATATTGATGATACCATTCAGCAGTAATCAGTCCCACCATTTAAACGTATGAACCTCCAGTGATCTAATTCAAGTTCGCAAGAAAGAACTTTGGAACGACCTTAGCACATATTTGAAACTGTACCATGTATGCTTATGCATGATACATATGCACCGTGTGATCCTTTTCTTTTCAGACGAAAATGAGTTCGCCAGAGCACCACAACCCGTCAATCCACAAATGTGAGTCTTCATTATTCCACCCTCATGATAAGAACTACGGCAATAATTGCATGTGGGTGTCACGCAGATTACGTGCAGTTCGCTGCAATTTTGAAATTACTTGCATTAGCCCGGAATGATAGTCGAAGCGCTGGTGTTGAGGAGGGTATAAAATAATTTATCAACTAAATGGAATCGATCACCATCCCTGGTTACTCCCCTTGAGGCCTCTATGGAAATGTACAAGCAATACCCTTCGCAAACTGAAGGGCAGATCTTGTCATGATCTTGCTTATGGGGGGGGGGGGGGTCGTGTGGCTTCTTTTTAACATGCAATATAGCGATCATACTCTAGCTAAGTGCCTCTTCCCTGTGTAATGAGCACATTACTGCGTCGTGTTGATTCTTGGATGATTGGGTTCCACATGCAGTACTTTGTGCAGCCTGTGATGGGATTCGATTTTGTTCATCCTCAATTACCTGGTACCGGATAATTGAGTTCTTCTTTCATAGGTAGGATGCACTTCCACCGTCAGCGTGCGGCTTGGTCGCCCTCTGCTTTTTTTTTCTCCCTTTTTTTTTCCCTCTTTCGCATCTCTCTTTCCTCTTATTCAATGCTGCGTTTCCTTCCGCTCTCCCTATCGCCTATTACCACGTCTTCGTTAGCTGAGAACTTCAGCCTCTGGTACTGAATGCTGTACATGCTATGAATTACAGGGTATTCTCCAAAAGTCTTAATTTGTTATTTAACTCGCGTCTGCTGCTCATTATCTACTTATTTTTGCAGTCTCAGCGAATTGTCAAAAGAGTATTAAATATAGGTGGACTTAACTCGCAGGCAAACTTTGATGAAGCATAGCAAGTGTTCTATATATTAAAAAAAAGTTGAATTAGTTTCTACATCCAATGTTATCCACTCTCATAGGAAGGTTTTGCCGAATGTGGGACCTAGCTCATCGTTCACGTTTTCAACTTTCACATACGCGGACCAATGATATTCAGGTCTTTATCGCAGAGATCAGCGTCTCTTCTAACCTCAGTTTTCTGTACATTCTCGTGTTCGCATTGGAAAGCCTAAAAGTAGCAGACACCCTTCCTACACCGTGTATGACAAAGCTCAGGCTTTGAAGCTCTCTTCCTTGGAGGTTTTCTCCCTCAGACAGGAAAGAGTAGTGGGAGGGACGAACTAAGGACTCGAAGCTAGAGGTTGCGTGGGCTTGGAAAGAAGAAATGCCAGTACGCGTTATTCCTGGGGGGTTCTGACGCTGAGATGTCCTTGGAACTGGAAGTCTCTTCCTTTGTACCGTCTCATGCTGCATCGATCCTCTCCTCTCTTCTGCCTCCTCTTTTTTTTTCTCTCTCTCTTTCTTCCTTCCGTCCTTCCTTCCTTTTTCGCTCTCATCCCTATCGTCTCGTGCAGCCCACAGCCGTAGCAATGCAAGCGCAGAATTTCCAGGAAGGGAGGAAAATTTTCCAGCTTTTTTTGCACTCAACTCTCCCCTATTTTTCCATGTCGCAGGTTGCCACCGTACTGTGACTGAACACGAAGATCTTGCTAGGGAAAACTTGTTCAGGCCCCAGCCGAGTGTGGATCAGACGCGTCGTGTCCTTGAGTCTCCCATCGATCGACCTAGTGACTGAATTTCCTCCTTTTTCCCTCTCCCTCACTTTTTTCCCTCTCCTGTTTCTTCTCTCTCTCTCTCTCTCTCGTTACTCCCCGTCTCTTCTGAGCATTTTCTTTTTCTTTCTGTTCCTTTTAGAGAAGAGGCTCTATTTTTTTTGCCGTCTGACGAGGTTTTCCTCTTTTTTTTTTTCTTTCCCTGTTCTCTCATGGAGTTTGCTTGCTCTATTTTTCCTCCAGACGGGCCTCAGACGCAAAGGGCTCTGCCTTCAGGCGGAGGCGGCTTTGATCTCCTCTACATCATCTCATATGCTGATCAGATATACGTACTTGTTATGAACGGAGCCAAGATAAAAAAATTTCCTTCTTTACCTCATTCATGAGAATTTGTTCATGGTTGGATGGGCTGACGTCGCTTTGTCTTCCCGACTCCCATTGATTAAAGAATGCTAGAATGTCACAGTTGCAAACGGCACCTTGTTTGTAATGAGTATCATGGCAATAGTGCTGCGCATTCTACTTTATTCCAGTTATGTAGATGTGGACCTACTCTCACGATTCCTTCTCGTTGCAATTTCGCGAACTCATTTTAGTTCAACAGGTAATCCGTTTTTGGCGTTGGGCCATCAACAACAGGAGCAACAGTAGAAGTAGACACACGAGATACAGGCCGATGGCTTTCCCAAATATCGAAAGATGCTCCTTTTCACAAATCAGCGGCATCGTATTTTTTTCGTTTTTCAGTGGAAAGATAAGTACTGTTTATGCTGACATTTATTTTTTCGATTCTCGATGCAGCCGCGGGTTCGAACAGCGTTTCGGAGGAAGGTACGTCGTTGCCTCATTCACTGTATCCAGGGGGGCACGGTGGGCGCCCTCCCAGCAGCGGGAGCAGTTCCTCACCCCCTGCCCCCTCCAGCTCCGCCTCTGCCTCTGGCGCTGTGGTCGTCCCACAGCCCATCAAGGGCGGCTCCACGGGTGGGGGTCCACCCACTGCCAACGGTACGGGTCGCAAGTATCAGTGCAAGATGTGTCCTCAGGTGAGTCTTTGATCCGTCTCTTTCTTTCTTTGCCTTCTTCCTTCCAGTAACCGTCATGTACGATGACGTATTCTGGACAACAGTAGGAAGGGGGGGGGGGGAGAAGATCAGAGATCACCAAAGTACGACCTTGATCATCTCTCTCCAGCATCTCGTTTTGATTCTGTCTGTGCTTGCCATCTGTTGCCTACTCCTTTCTTATTCCCTTTCTTCCCCCCCCCCCCCCCCCCCCCCAGGCTTTCTACTGGACTCACTAACATTAGGCCTAGGCCTATCCAACAGACTGCCTTCAGGTCACGCCAAGGCCTACCTTTTTCTTTTCAAAAGAAACTCAATTCTCGACTTACGGCGGCAATTAGGCCAATAAGAGTGAATCGTGGTCTTCGAGACATCTGATTGAGGACGTGTAACGTTAGGCAGATCGTAGGCCTATTCATATGTTCATGAATTTATTTCAAAGTGGACGTGTAACGTTAGACCAATTGGAGGCCTGTTTCGCGTTTCATCAACCAATTCAGTGGGACGTGGAACGTTAGGCCTATCTGGAGTTCCTCGAACCATCTCAAATAGATCTGAAGAGGGAATGCCCTGAAGAAGTATGGAATCCGTGGTACGCGCCATCCTGTTAATTCAGGGATGTCCAGATAACATATCTGCATATCCTACCACATCGATCAATAACTGCTATCCACAGCTTCATTCGCAACTTATCTCATGAACTCAGCACAAAAATGTCTCACATTAAAAAACAGAAGATCCAGGCGCCAATATGAGGGTTGAAGCGGTCTTGAATCTGGCATAATTTCGGCACGGTATCCAGCAACACTGGGGAACGGTACCGAGTAAGCACTCTAAGCCTAATTGAACGACAGCTAATTTCACTTTTTAATGGCGAAATGGAGTATCGCAAACAGCAAAAAAAAACAACACTTTTCTTTCATCTACGAGTCAATATCTTTCTTATGGTTGGTCTCTTTCCTCCGAAACCCCCCCAGGAGTGGCTAACCAGGGGGGGGGAATGAAATTGACATCTTTCAAAAACGAGATTCAGTGTTCTCCACAACCCCGGGGAGATGGAGCTTCAAAATTGCTGGAGCGATCCTGTGGTGAGAGAGGAAGAAGTATGCCACATTTCGTTCCTGTTGATGCTCTCAGAGAGGAATACGAGGAGGTTGAATTTTGCGGCGGGAAGGGGTTCAAGAAAGGGAATAGGCGCTACCAAAGCCTACTGATTATGCTTGGGCTCAGTGCCGTAGCAAGGGGTGTGCGAACGGTGCTCCCGCACAGGGCGCCGATTGGCTGCCGAGGAGGAAAAATATGTAAAGTGTGGACTTGAAAACCTCTCTAATTAGTGTGAGGAAAGTTGAAGTCGATACTTTTCAGAGTGTGCCGGAAACCTGACATTTCCTGGGACTAATCCATTGTGTTATCAGCAGAGGGCTCGATGATCGACGGCAGGAAGCGTTCCCCCATTCCCTTTGTTCGACATACACTCTCGTTTGCATACCATTTCATTGTTTCCTCTTGCCTTCTGACCTCCCTCAGTCGGCTCCGTGCGGCCAAGGGTCCAGTGGTGTGGGTGCATAGCCGACGCGAAGCCTATTTTTTCTTGCTCTCATCACCAACGGTAGAATCCTTCTGAACCGATTTCACGAAATAGAGGACCCGAGAAAGAAGGCTTAGTAATCTAAAATACGAAGGAAAACAATTGCCATCTTCTTGCTGGATTGAAGGCCGTGGTAAATCGAATTGACACATCGACTTTTCGGTCTCTTTCAATATACGCAGAGGAGCTCTTTCGGTTCCATTTCCATGCGAACCTTCATGATTTAACGTTAATGGAGAAGCATTGCTTTTCAAACGCCTCTCTGTCTTACGTTACGCAGCAAGGCCTGCTTGTGTGATGCCCCGTCATAGCTTCATTTGTTGTATAATGTGTTTCTAGGAATGCAGTGGGCACGCGAGTGTCCCTCGGAACTTCGCTGGAGTCCATGATGGAATTTCGCTCCTGGGCATCCTCCCTGCCTCCCACGAAAGGTCACATGAACTGAACAAATCACACGAGTTACAAGTCCTGCTGAGTCATCTCCGTGCTCCCATCCAGCTTATCTCCTGTGAAAATCCCTCGTCCTGGTAACGATGCGATGCGAAGAGGCGGGGGGGGGGGGAATCCAGTGGTGAACCGTGTGGATGCAGCTCGTCTCTTCATCGCACATTGGAATGATGTGCCTATCGCGAAGTGTGAATCGTAGATAAGCAACGGAATGTGACTCTCGTCTGACGACCCTTCCTCCCCCGCTCGCTTCGTATCAGCCGTTTTTGTGTCGACCTCTCCTGCAGTGCCTTTTCATTCCTCGTTTCACGTCCCTTCCGCGTATCTTGATTGACTTATTCCACATCGACCATGGTGAAAACAGAGCACGAGGAAGGGAAAAGTATGAAAACTCTGGATCAATATCGTTTCCTGGCCAGAGGGCTCGCTCAGAACTGGCGAGAGAAGAATCATCTTTGTGACGTCATCATCCAGGTCCACGACGTCTCGTTCTATGGAAGCCGCTTCGTTCTCGGTTCCGCATCGCCTGTATTCAAGCACATGTTTCTCTCCGACACGGAGAATCGCTATAAGACTATTCCGTTGGCAGACGTCTCTTTGGAAGGGTTCCAGATCATCTGGGACTTCATATACGAAGAGAGATACGGGACCGATGACGAATTCATCGCCCTGGCAGTCCTCAAGGACTCGCATCGTCTTCAGATCGATCTCCTCTACGAGGAATACGCCGAGAAATTGAAGAAAATGTTGAAGCTCGAGAACGCCTTTACCGTACTCTCCACCGCCCAGAACCTCCACGCCAAATCGTTGCTGGAAGAAGCTGTACGCTTCATCGCTCTCAAGTTCCAAGAATTCATTCTCACCTCGGACTTCCTCTCCATGTCCCTCGAAACGTTGCAGATGTTTCTCGAAAGAGACGATCTAGAAGTGTCGTCAGAAATCGACATCTACGAAGCGGTGCAGAGATGGTTAGATCACGATCCTCCGCGAAGAGGAGATCTACCGAAACTCTTGAACCGGATCAGGCTTCCGCTGTTGTCGTTGCGTTATCTCCGTCGGCATATCACCCGCGATCCGATGATTTTGGAAGATTCCCAATGCCTCGATCTCGTCGTGGAAGCGAAGCACTTCCACATCCCGCAGCTGAGGGACATGGTCCCCGCGGAAAAGACGAAGGCCAGGGGCACTGGGCTTTACCATCCGTTCTGGTGCGTCGGGAGGGATGAAGACGGAGCCAAATTATTCTCTCTGAATCCTCGAGACTGGTCTGCCCACGTGCTCACTTCCTATCCATGGCCCGACACGATGTCGTTCGTCGAGGCATTTTTAGCAATAGACAGGAGGCTCTTCCTCATCGGTTGCGGAGAGATGAATGTGCTGGATGTGGAAAGAAAAGAGTGGGAAAGCGGACCTCCGCCACCCGAAGACCTTCAGTGGCCGGCATCTGCCTTTGGACTCAACTCCATCTTCGTCTCGGGTGGTTTTTCCAGCACGGATCCCACCAGGAAGTCTAAGTCCGTGAACCGATTGGAACTGGGATCGTGGAGGTGGTTGCAGGCCCCACAAATGACGTACGAGCGCTATGCGGCCTCTGCCGTTATTCTGGATTCCAGCCTCCACGTGCTTGGAGGGAATTCGCGGACGCACGAGCGTCTGGACACGAGGACGAATAATTGGAGCGAACTCTCTCCGTGGCCAGGGGATTGGCTCTGCCCTGGTGTCGTCGTACACGAGGGTCAAATTCATGTCGCTGGTGGCGGTTTCTGGGACGATCCCGTCATATCGGACGTGTACGTGTACGATGAGAGGAAGAACGACTGGCGTCTCCTGTCTCCCATGCAGGAGAAGAGATTCAGACACGGTCTCATTCACTTCGAAGGTGATCTTTATGCCGTCGGTGGGGCGAAGACTCCTTCGATTGAAATGTACGATGGCACCGAATGGAAGATCGTCGCGAGTCTGGATTTGAACGCTTGCGAGCGGGTTTGCATCATGGAATGGACCACCGGGTGAATCCCTCGACGCGAATCACAATCCATTTGGAAGAAAATTTCTCTCTCCATTCACGTGATTCATCGCATTGAAATGGCCTTTCTCCGGCCCTGTCCCTGTGACTTATGGCTTCTCTGCGGTGCATTCCTCCCTAGCCACTCCTCTCATAGGTCGCTCTCGGACCCACACGTGGCTTCAAGGGTGTGGATACTTCTTCTTCTACTCGTTCTCGTGTTATTCTCTGATCTGAGCCGAGTTCTCACCGCTGCATTGCCGGTACAAAAGGAACACAAGAACAAAGTCAGCGTATATTCTTCAACAATGTCATATTCTTCATTTTGAGCAGTTTCTCTTGCAGAAAAATGCTGGTCAATTTATTTCGCTCCAGAAATAGATAGTATTGTGATCGCTATCATGAGACAGTTGATTCTCTGAATTGTGTTAACACGATGGGGGCAGCGGTACGGTTTCGTGTTTCTCGGGATAGATTCAATAGTTTTTGCTCTGATTCT